GGAGAGAATGATGCTTTTTTTGGGGGGGGGGGCGGACCCTATGGCAATGTATCCCGCTGAGGTCCCACTCCCTGACCTCCCCAGGTTCTGTCCCCAAATCTCCAGAAGTCTCCCAACTTGGATCTGGCAAACTTAAGAACATAAGAGAAACCAATGTTGGATCAGGCCAATGGCTCATCCAGGCCAACACTCTGTCACACAGTGGCCAAAAATACCAGGTGCCATCAGGAGGTCCAGCGGTGCGGCCAGGACACTAGAAGCCCTCCCACTGTTGACCCCCCAAGCACCAAGAATACAGAGCACCAAAGTTCCTATCTATACCTTGTGGCTAATAGCCACTGATGGACCTCTGTTCCGTATGTTTATCTAATTCCCTCTTGAAGCCGTCCATGCTTGTAGCCGTCCATGCTTGTAGCCGCCGCCACCTCCTGTGACCGTGAATTCCATGTGTTAATCCCTCTTTGGGTGGAGAAGTAATTCCTTTTATCTGTTTTAACCTGACTGCTCAGCAATTTCATTGATTGCCCATGAGTTCTTGTATTGTGAGAAAGGGAGAACTTACCCCCCATCCCATACTAATGGCCAGGGGGGACCTAGTAACCCTAAGCGCAAGAGTCCAGTTGTGCTTTAAAGACTTATAAGATTTGTGGCAGCGTATGAGCTTCTGTGAGTCACTGCCCACTTCTTCAGATTCTGCTCGCTTCTTTAGTGTGTGAAGAAGTGAGCAGTGACTCATGAAACCTCATACCATGCCACAGGTTTAGTTAGTCTTTAAGGTGCTACTGGACTCTTGCTGTTTTATTTATTTATTATTTACTTTATTTATATTCTGCTTTTCTTCTCCATGTGGGCCCTAAGTGGCTTATATTATTCTTCTCTTCTCCTTTTTATCCTCACAACAACCCTGTGAGGTAGGTTAGGTGGAGAGTATGTGACTGGCCCGAGGTCACCCAGCAAGCTTCCACGGTAGATTGAGAATTTGAACCTGGGTTTCCCAGATCCCAGTCTGTCACTTAAATGGCTACACCATGCTGGCTTTCCTTTAGTTGACTGTTCAGTTTCGGTTTTGTTCTAATCGACTTAGGGGTAAATGAGAACATGAAGCTGCCTTATATTGACTCATATCTGTTGGTCTATCAAAGTCAGTCTTCTCTACTGTGATGGGCAATGGTTGTCCGGGTCTCAGGAAGTCTTTCACATGAGCTGGTACCTTTCCCTTTTCACTAGAGGCACTGAGACTTGAACCTGGGACCTTCTTCATGCAAGCAGATGTTCCACCACTGACTCATGGAGCCCTCGAATGCATTTTCCCGTTTGGGTTTTGAAACAACATCGGGATCAGAATGCATTAAAAAAGTTAATCTTGTAGCACCTTAGAGGCTGGCAAACATGTTGCAGCATATGCATCTGTGAGTCATAGCTCGCTTTATCACCTGCACAGTGTTACAAGGAAGTGTTCTTTCGCCCATGAAAGTATATGCCGTGATTTGTATCATAGTCTTTTGGTGCTATGGTTATTCTGGAGGGATTAGCCCTGTTAGTCTGGAAGCAAAAATAAGCAGGTGTCTTGTGTTACTTTTCAAAAACTAACACAATTTAATTCCAGTATATGCTTTTGCCCCCCATTATCAGGTGATATGTAGTGGTTGGTGATAAGCTGATCACTGTGTCTGAAGACCAAGCCCTATGAAGAAAGGCTGAGGGACTTGGGAATGTTTCGGCTGGAGAAGAGGAGGCTGAAGGGGGACATGATTGCTCTCTATAAGTATTTGAAGGGTTGTCACTTAGAGGAAGGTAGGGAGCTGTTCCTGTTGGCAGCAGAAGATAGGACTCACAATAATGGGTTTAAATTAAGGGCTGGGACCGGCTGGATATTAGGGAAAACTTTTTAAAGTAAGAGATGTGCAGCAGTGGAATCAGCTGCCTCGGGAGGTGGTGAGCTCCCCCTCACTGGCAGTCTTTAAGCAGCGGCTGGACAAACGCTTGTCAGGGATGCCCTAGGCCAGTGGTGGCGAACCTATGGGCACGCGTGCCATCGCCCCAGCCAGGCCCAGACCATCATTAAAGTGTTGAATTCTCTGCCAAATAACTTTAAGTAAATGAAAGCATTTGGAATTGCTTTCCTTACTTTGGATCATCTTAAGTTAATGTATGAGTTGTTTTTTCTAAAGTAAAACCTCAGTATTCAGGTTAAATTGCCGTGTTGGCACTTTGTGATAAATAAGTGGATTTTGGGTCGTAGTTTGGGCACTCGGTCTCTAAAAGGTTCGCCATCACTGCCCTAGGCTGATCCTGCATTGAGCAGGGGGTTGGACTAGATGACCTCTACGGCCCCTTTCAACTCTGTGATTCTATTATTCCAAGAAGCTGGCTCTAGTCCTTAAAAACTTATGCTGTAATAATACTTTCTCCTCCTTTAAGGTTCCTCTATCAGACTTCTGTTTGTTTAAAGTGCCAGAGAATTCTTTTGTTGATTTAGCTGCAGCAAATACAGCTCTTCCTGTGGAAAGTGCATCATGTTGGTCTCTAACATGCTACTGGATTCAGATCTAGCTGGTCTCCCCACCCATACTCAGGTTGTGTTGTGTGTTAATGCAGCACACCGTGGAAGATCCGAGAGGGTTGTCTGTGAGGGCCCTCAGTCAGATATGTGCTTTGAATTCCATACTAGTAACTTAATTTCCCAGTGCATACTGTCTTGTTTGGATCATAACCAGTACTCCCTCTAAGGTGTGGAGTCTTGTAAGCAAAAATTCTTCTTTATGAACTACCGACATTAAAGTTGTGAGCAAGAGATTTGGCTGCTGCATAAATTTGTTTGCTCTGGTGCCATCCTTCCTGAGCTAAGACAAAAATGTGTGAGCTGGAGGTTAAAAAACTGTGAGCTAGCTCACACTAACTCAGCTTAGAGGGAACACTGATCAGAACTACAGTGGACAGGGAAAGTGTTTTTAAACCTTCACACCCCTGTGCCATTTTCCTGACCTGAAGCAGCCTTAGGTGGACATTCTTTGCTCTGTAGCGTAGCTTGGCACATGCTAATGTCTACATGTAAGTTTTCCCCGGCATGGGAAATGGTGACTCTTTGGGGCTGTGGAAATGAGGGAAGGCTTAAGGACCCTCTCCATACAGTCCTGATACATACCAGGGCTCTTTTGTGTCTGGGAAGTACAGAACTCCTAGATCATGTCTGTTCAAAAGCCTTGAGAGATGAGCTATATCATCCATGTACAAAAGACATGGCCATTTAACATGAGCTAGGTAGGGCAGATGGAAGTCATTGCTGGAAATATAAGAGTTTAGATCACTGATATACAAATTAAATAACAGAGGAACAAAGTTTGAGTCAGGTGGCACCTTTAAAACCAACAAAGTTTTATTCTGTGTATAAGCTTTCTTATGCATGCACACCTTAGATACGTATTTGAAGAAGTTATGCATGCACACGAAAGCTTATACCCAGAATAAAACTTTGTTGGTCTCAAAGGTGCCACTGGACTCCAACCTTGTTCTGCTGCTTCAGACCAACATGGCTACCCACCTGAATCTAAATAACAGAGGAGTGAGAATACATCCTTGCTTCACTCCTTTGCTCAATACAATAGCTCTAGTCTTGGGGTGTCAAACATGTGGCCCGGGGGCCGGATCAGGCCCCCAGAGGGCTTCTATCAGGCCCGCGGTGGAACTGGCTGTCTTCTGCTGCTTCTTCCAGTTCTGCTGCTGCTGCTGCATCATCATAGGTTTGCAGCTTACAGATACACACCTGAACAGCATACTCAAGATTGCAACAGCACAGACATTTTGATGCAATAATTCAAAGTAAGAGGTGTCAGTTATCAGACATTGTTAAATAAGCAAAATATTGCAAGAGTTTTAAGCATGTTTTTATTTTAAGTAAAAAAAACCTTTGTGTTTGTGTCCTTTATAAAGTCTATATCTCTGCTACCTGGCATTACATTTTATGACACACATGGCCCAGCCCAACAAGATCTCGTTTATGTCAGATCTGGCCCTCATAACAAATGAGTTCGACACCCCTGCTCTAGTCAGTTCACCAGATGGACCACATCTTGCTTGAGCTGTAGGCTGATCATATAATTGTTGAATCAAAAACAGGAGAATCCTTGCCAATAGACAATTTCTTCAGTTTATCCCATAAAAGTTCCTGCTGGCTTTGTATCATGTGAATGGGCCGTAAGTAGAGCAACTGTATTATATGGATTGGTTTATTGCGGCGTCTTGCAGATTTTAGTAGGCAAAAAGGAGACCGTATTCTTCCCCCAAGGAATTAACAGCCACGAGCATATAACAGGAGAGAGGAGCGGGAGAAGGGTAATGGTATGGGTGTTGTCTGTGTTCACTTGGCAGCGAAGCAATACTGGAGGAAAATGCCACCTTTTAGGAGTGTGATAGGGCATAGAGACGGAATGAGGGGGCTATGAAGGGCAACAGGTTCCTGTAGCTTCAGGGGGGCTGTGTATATTAAGGATGGGGGGTTTGACCAGTCATTATTTGATTATTTTTAAAGTATTCACTGCATTCAAGAACAAAAACTTCAGTTATCAACAGGTTTGGAACTTAGCTAACAGTTACTGTGAAACCACAAAACTAACTTTTCCAAAAAAGAGTTGTAATGAGTGTGTATGAGTGCTCCTCAGCATTTGCGGCCAGTGACTTCTTGTATTCCATTTTGGAGGGCCCTGTGTTCATTGCAGGAGGCCTGTGGGAGAAGCTTTGCTGGCTCTACACATGACGGTTGAGGGTCTAGTGAGCACCCGGCTTTCACTCCTGCCTTGGCTGTACTGGTTCAATGAATTTTAAAAGATAAGGTGCCACCTGCACAGTGTCATTCTTGCCTTTGTGGGGTATTTAACAGCGGTCTTTTGAAAATATAAAGCAAGAGGTTTGACCATGGACCATGCTGTTTATAACATTTAGTTGTGGTCTGTTGCACTTCCTTGGCGGGTGGGATGCTTTGGGTACCGTGTTGCGGCAACCATTGCCCAGATTTCCAGAAGAGTGATTTGTAAAGGCTGGTTCACTTTCTGTGGATGTGGGGTTAGTTCATTGCCTAATGCAGGGATCCCCAAACCTTTTGGGCCTGTGGGAACCTTTGGAATTCTGATACAGTGAGGTGGGCACAGCCACAAAATGGTTGTGACAAGAGGTGGAGCCAGCCACAAAAATGGCTGCTACAGCTTACCCTTATAAGAAGAAGAAGAAGAGATTTGATTAATACCCCGCCCTTCAGTTGGAGTCTCAGAGCGGCTTACAAACTCCTTCCCCTCCCCCTTTCCACAGCAGACACCCTGTGAGGTAGGCGGGGCTGAGGGAGCTCTGAGAGAAACTGCTCTTTCAAGAACAGCTGTGACAGAACTATGGCTTGCCCAAGGTCATCCAGCAGCTGCAAGTGGAGGAGTGGCGAATCAAACCCGGTTCTCCCAGTTTAGAGTCTGCGCACTTAACCACTACACCAAACTGGCTCGCATGGTGAGGATCCTTGTGCTGTGGAGGCAGCTGCTGTCAAAGAAACATTTTTTAAAAACTGAACAGCCAATCAGATCTCCAGTGGCCAGTCAGAAGTCTTGCCATGCAAAACCCAGTTGGCCCCGCCCACTTTCTAAAAACACTTGGAGGACTCTAGGAAAGGTGTTCAGGGGCAGCAGGGTGCCCACGGTCACCATGTTGATGTCTTTACTTTGTTCGCTGAGTGCTGGGGCACTGTTACAACATCAGGAGCTTTGAAAGCCTAGTTTCCCTTGCCCCACTTTTGTATTTTAATTTAGAAGAAGAAGAAGAGATTGGATTTATACCCCGCCCTTCACTACCCGAAGGAGTCTCAGAGTGGTTTACAATCTCCTTTCCCTTCCCCTCCCCACAACAGACACCCTGTGAGGTAGGTGGGGCTAAGAGTGCTCTTTCAAGAACTGCTTCTGAGAAGAACTTGTGACTGACCCAAGGTCACACCAGCAGCTGCACATGGAAGAGTGGGGAATCAAACCGGGTTCTCCCAGATTAGAGTCCGCGCACTTAACCACTACACCAAACTGGCTTAGGGCAACATGTGTTAGCAGAACAGCATTCTCTGGCAGTTATGTCCTTGGAGTCTTCCCATTCCATTTAGCCATACTAGGAAGAACTTGTGATAATTGTGTTTTCAAAAACTTCTCCACGTATTCAGAATTGCCTTGACACGTACTCAGATAATATATTCAGAGTAGGTGAGCATGTTGCTAACTGCTTCCCAGAGGAACTTTCTGTGCGGTTAATTAAGCCAGTGGTTACCACGTTGGTTATTTCTTTATCCTAAAATAAAATAACCTTAGCCTTATTCATCGGTGTTGCCCAAGAAGACGTTTAGGAATCTTGCACAATAACTGTGAAAGTTTAACATTGTAATGTGATGCAATAGAGACGTCTGGAACATGCTTAACAGAACCAGTTCATAAACAAGAGTCTCATTGTGTGAGGGCCAGGATCTGAAAAGCTGCTCTGGTGCATCCAAAGGGTTAGGCATGTCCAGTGGGGCTCTTGGCTGTTCACTTTGAGCCGCAGAAAGGTGTGCCGTTATCACATGAACACATGAAGCTGCCTTGTACTGAATCAGACCCTTGGTCCATCGAAGTCAGTATTGCCTGCTCAGACCGCCGGCAGCTCTCCAGGATCTCAGGCGGAGGTCTTTCACATCACCTCGTGCCTGGTCCTTTTAACTGGAAATGCCAGCGATTGAACCTGGAACCTTCTGTGTGAGCCACAGCCCCTGTTTTCAAAAGGGGGTTGTTGTTAGCGAGGAGTCTGCGGTTTCAGACCCCTAAATTACGTGTGAATAGTTGCGCCATTCTTTGGATGCCACCCTTTGGTTCTTAAAGCAAAAACTGAGAAGCCTTACTTAAATCCAATATGGGGTTTTGTTGTACTCAAATTTGGTGCGCAGATTACTTACGCAAACGGCTTACATAGTAATACTATGAGAGTTATCGTTCAGGAGGACTCAGAAGAACTTCCATACTCCTAAATCCATCTATTATGCCTGCTCTCTATACAGGCAGTTGCTTTAAATGTCAGTTGCTGGGGGGGGGGGGCGGGGGATTTGCTAAAGAGGTAGCCCCATGAGGTAGGTTAGGTTGAGAGTGTGTGCCTGGCCCAAGGTCACCCAGCGAGCTTCCATGGCACAGCGGGGATTTTAATTTGGGTTTCCCAGATCTTAGTCCGACACTTTAGCCTGTACAGCATACTGACTGTCATGCTTGATGAGATCCCAGAGGTGGGAAACAGGAGCATCCCGGCCTGCTGCAATGAGCCCTCACAGCATTTTTAAATGGCTTTGGAATGGCAGTGGCAGCCACAAGGATGTGGACATCACCTGTAGTTCTCAGGAGGGCCATCTCTTTTTTTCCTCCCAGGGGCATTGCCCCAAGCCATCCTTCTGCCTGCTTAGCAAGGGGAGAACTGTTTTCCAGTTGTGTGCTGGATAGCTAACAGAACTGAATCTTGTTGCTCTGGAATACTCTAGCTCTAAATATTTTAGATGAAAATAAATGCTGATGAAGTAGAAGTTGGGCATGGTACGTGCGGGACCCCGCAAAGAGTGCCTTCCTAGTAGAAAAGCCTTGCCCAGTCGAAGAAAAATGGTTTTGGATTTCCTAGCACAAGACCCCCCCAATTAAGCGCTATTCATAACTCTGTTCCCAAGAATAAAGGACTGTTCCATCTCACTTTTGTTATAGTTCATCAATAATAAAACTCACAGTTGTTGCCAGTTTTTATTGTGCAGCTGTGTCGGTCAGATAGTGGCCGCAGAGGGCTTTGTATCCGCACGTATGAGGCTTTTGGACTGATTGGCAGCAGCAAAAGAATGGTCTGAGAATAAAATCCCGTTTCTTTTCAATAGAGATTTAGCATTTTGAGCGGAACTGATCCCTTCAGTCTGTTCAGTGAGGACTATTTCCATTGTGCATCGCATGGTACATCTAGAACATAATTATCCTTTTTTAGCTTTGGATATTAGACCTTCCGGGGGGGAGAAAATAATTTTCTCCTAGTTGCCTAGCAATGGTCCTTGCTGTCCTTCTGCAGCCAAGAGAGGAGAGGCGAGTCCCCCGACGTCATCTGAGCATAGTCTTGGTTCTACTGCCTTGGGGTTCTCTCTTCACCACTAGCACCCCATGCTTTTATTTGGTGTAGTGGTTAGGAGCGTAGTTTGGTGTAGTGGTTAGAGCCAGTTTGATGTAGTGGTTAGGAGCGCAGACTCCAATCTGGGAGGACCGGGTTTGATGCCCCACTCCTCCACATGCAGCTGCTGGTGTGACCTTGGGTCAGTCACAAGTTCTCTCAGAGCTGTTCTCTCAAGGGCAGTTCTCGAGAGAGCTCTCTCAGTCCCACCTACCTCACGGGGTGTCTGTTGTGGGGCGGGGAAGGGAAAGGGGATTGTAAGCCGCTCTGAGACTCCTTCAGGTAGGGAAGGGTGGGGTATAAATCCAATCTCCTCTTCTCTTCTTATCTATTTATTTATTTATTTTTAATAGGCAGCCGACCACATCTTTAAGTCTGTTTCCTCCTCCAGCATAAAGAAGAAACCATCTGAGATGGTACTTCCTCATCCAACCCAGGGCCAATCTATAAGTCTGCCTCCTGCTAGTTGACCACCAAGGTTATGTAGCATTGCCTTACAAAGAAGCAAGAGAATTAGTAGGAGAATCCAAATTTTTTTTGGGGGGGTTGTCATTTATCCGTTCTTTCTGTTTGTTTTCCAGCTTTTTACTCAGCCGTCTTCTTTGCTTTTGGTATTTTGGATTGTGCTAATCTCACATATTTGTGTTTAGTTAAGATAAGATCCTTTCTCGTAGTGAGAAAAATAATATGGACAGAGGTCTATCCATGTTGACTGGCCTTGATTTGCCAAAATGTGTGCTCCTTCATCCTCGATCACCCCCTGACTTTAGGGAGTAGTGAGATTTTTGTCCCTGAAGTAGAGCTGAGTTTACCTGCTTCACATAGGATGCTATAACATCTTGTGTACTTCGTACTTGACTACAAGCCTGCGGGTTGCTGGATAGTTCTCAACAAATAGAGGTGCTTAAAAGATAGATGAGCTGCTACAGCAAGAGAGATTCCCCCCCCCCCGGGCAATCTTTTCCCATTCCCTATGAAGTTATGAAAGACAGAGGGATATAGTGGTTGAGAGTAGCAGACTCTAATCTAGAGAGCCTGGTTTGATTCCCCACTCCTCCTTCACATGAAGCCTGTTGGGTGACCTCTGGCCATTCTCTCAGAACTCTCTCAGCCTCACCTACCTTACAAGGTGCCTGTTGTGGAGAGAGGAAGAGAAAGGCAATCATGAGCTGCTTTGAGACTCCTTTGGTTAGAGAAAAGCAGTGTGAAAAAACCTCTTCTTGTTCTTTTGCAATGTTCGCATAAAGTCCTTTAGTATACTGAGATAATCATGCGACTGCTGCGTTCAGCGCATTTTAATTCTTGCTTCCTGCTGGTAACGACACCTTCTTCTTCAAACTGGCAACTTGCTGTCGTTTGAGAGAGGCGAGGTGATGTCTCGCTGTTTTTTTGAACTGGATCTCTGATTTTGAAAGCCTTTTATTGGATTCCCCTACAAAAGTCTTTGTGGCCACTTTGTTGTTGATTAATAGAGTCTTCTAGGATCTTGTCCTCTAGAACAGATCTGAAGATGGTCATCAAGGATATTAAACTAGGGCTGCTGTTAATGGAGGTTAAAATAAAAGAAGAAAAACAAAGGAAGGGCTACCAACTTTGCAGCTGAATTGGATCCCCAGCTATTTGCTCAGTGGCAGGCCATGGCTTGACTACATGGGACCTTGATACAATCTGGGAAGACAGTTTATGCATTCTTACATAACACAGCTTGCCTGAATAAGGGCAGGTTGTTGGGTGCAGCTGTGAATGCATCAGCGATTTAGGAGCAGTAGCATTTATTAAAGAGTTTTTTGTATATTAAATTGTGGTCCCGGTCACATGGGCCATAAAATGCGGGGGGGGGGGAAGCGTGGCAGTTTGGCTCGGAGCAAAATAACGCGCAGCCACCCTATCACGGGTCCCGTCGAGGTCCCGTGGGTAGGGGCGAGGTGGCGATCACACGACAATCCTGCAGCGCGGCAAAGAAAAGGCACAGCGCGATCTCACCAACGGCATGTGCGATCCTGCGGAGCAACGGAACTTTCGCTTTCCTCTTCGTGTGCATGCGCCGTTGGGTGTTTGTGCGCATCCTGTAGAGACTTGGGGGGGGGGACCTGTTTGCGACAGGACATGGGCAGTGTTCCCTCTGAGTTAGTGGGAGCTAGCTCACAGTTCTTTAGCCTCTGGCTCACACATTTTTGTCTTAGCTCAGGAAGGACGGCTCCAGAGCAAACTTAATTTATGCAGTAGCCAAACTGCTCACTCACAACTTTAATGCCAGTAGCTCGCAAAGTAGAATTTTAGCTCACAAGACTCCACAATTTAGAGGGAACATTGGACATGGGTAGGTGCCGGATGCCACGGACTACCACCGGAAACGCGATCAGACGCCAGCCCTTGTCCCGTGGTTTCCGGAAACTAGTACCTCAGAGGTACCGTATTTTCCGGTGTATAAGATGACTGGGCGTATAAGACGACCCCCAACTTTTCCAGTTAAATTGTAGAGTTTTCCAGTTAAAATATAGAGCTGTGCTGATGCTTCTGGTGTACCGGCGTATAAGACGACCCCCCACTTCTGAGAAGATTTCCCTGGGTTAAAAAGTAGTCTTATACGCAGGAAAATACAGTACTAGTTTTTAACTCCGCATCTTCTGTGGGAAGCCTCGGGTTCGCCATGGGAGCTCTACGCTTCCCAGATGTTGCGGTGTGATCGCGCCCGGAAAATCCGCCTATCATCCGTCTCAGTAGCGTGGCTAATGCTCCGTGTGACTGCAGCCTGTTTTTCTTTTTCCTTACCACTGAGTTTTATGTTTTTACTAATACTGCCCCTTTTTTTATATTACAGAAATTGGAATGGGACTTACGGGTTTTGGAGTGTTTTTCCTTTTCTTTGGAATGATCCTATTTTTTGACAAAGCACTTTTGGCTATTGGAAACGTAAGTGATTTACATGAGTCATATTTACGTAATACATCAACTGAACACGCTTCCCTCTAAATACGCCGTGTAGCTGGCGTACATAACAGCAACCAGAGAGAAAGTTAATTTTAAGGAGCATCTAGTCCAGGGTTCACTTAAGTATGATGGGATTGCCTTGATCGTACATGCCTCAGGAAACTTTGTTTTAATTGGCAGCCATCTGGAACTCGGCAGATGTCTTTCTGATCTCCTTAGCAATGAATGATGCGAAAAGGAGCAGGAAGAATGAAGAGCAGCTCTGGGCTGCCGTCTCCTTGGATTCTTTTCCCATAAAAAAGTAACTCCTACTTTTTTTTCCCCTCCTACATTGGCTTCACATCTCCTTTGGCACGCTGCACAGACTCCTTGGCCTTACCTTTAGAGTTCTCCCTGGACTTTCTTCACCCCTACGCCTTAGCTCAGGGGTGTCGAACTCATTTTTTTATGAGGGCCGGATCCGACATAAATGAGACCTTGTTGGGCCGGGACACGTGTGTCATAAAATGTAATGCCAGGTAGCGGAGATATAAACTTTGTAAAGGACACAAACACAAAGGGGGTTTTTTTTTTACTTAAAATAAAAACACGTTTAAACCATTAGCTCTGTAAGCTGCCAACCTACTTTTGATTTATCGACATTCACCACAGAAATCTCATCCTCAGAGTTCTGAGTCTAGGACCCAGGTTAAAACATGAAATGGCTGAGTGATTAAGAGAGTCTGGCGAAGCAAGCTACGATGCAGCAGCGGTAGAAGAACTGGAAGCAGAAGATGGCCAGTTCCACTGCGGGCCTGATGGAAACCCTCCGGGGGCCTGATCCGGCCCCCGGGCCGCATGTTTGACACCCCTGCCTTAGCTGGCCCTGACCTGGATAGCCCAGGCTAGCCCAATCTCATCCGATTTCGGTAACTAAGCAGGGTCAGCTTTGATCAGTATTTGGATGGGAGACCACCAAGGAATACCAGAGTCACAACACAGAGGCAGACGATGGTGAAACCACCTCCGAACACCTCTTGTCTCGAAAACCCCACCAGGGGTCGCTATAAGTAATCTGTCACTTGACAGCAAAAAGAAGGCTCAGCTGTGATCTCTTGATCTGCCTTCGTTTCTCCAGTTCCACCATCCTGAGCTGACGGACCTCTCCTGCTTTTGGAGACGATTCCCTTGTTGCCTGCTGTGCCCAGAAAGCCTAGCCAGAGCACACGCACGACACCATCTCTTTTTCGTAACGTAAATTATACCACCTACACAAAGCCTTAGAATTGACCCTTGATACTATACTGAAACAAGGGTAAAGTGTCTGCATGTGCTCATTTTTTAAAAAATTCCACCTGTAAGAACATAAGAACATAAGAGATGCCAATGTTGGATCAGGCCAAAGGCCCATCCAGTCCAACACTCTGTATCCCACAGTGGCCAGAAATACCAGTGCCATCAGGAGGTCCACCAGTGGGGCCAGGACATTAGAAGCCATCCCACTGTTGACCCCCCCCCCCCCCCAAGCACCAAGATGACAGAGCCTCACTTGCCCCAGAGCCCTTATCTATACCTTGTGGCTAATAGCCACTGATGGATCTCTGCTCCATATGCTTATCTAATTCCCTTTTGAAGCCGTCCATGCTTGTAGCCGCCACCACTTCCTGTGGCAGTGAATTCCAAGTGTTAATCACTCTTTGGGTGAAGAAGTACTTCCTTTTATCCGTTCTAACCCGACCGCTCAGCAATTTCATGGAGTGCCCACGAGTTCTTGTATTCTGCCAGTTGTAGTCTGTAGTCTGCCAGTTGTACATTTAGATTGTCAGCTTCTTGAGCAGAGACCTGCTTTGGGCTTATTTGCAGCGGAAAGCACCGTATGCACTCCTAGTGCTTGTATGAATCAGACCACTGTCTAAGCTGGGTGAGAGGTGTATGTGAACATAAGAACATAAGAGAAGCCATGTTGGATCAGGCCAGTGGCCCAACCAGTCCAGCACTCTGTCACACAGTGGCCAAACCCCAGGTGCCCATAAAAAGAGCCTTCCTGGATCAACCCACTGGTCTATCTACCTTATAGTGTAGAAGTATGCAGCATTAAATTATTTATTTCATCCATACCCCACCTTTCTCCCCAGCGGGGACCCAAAGAAGTTTATATTATTCACCTCTCTTCATTTTTATCGTCACACCAACCCTGAGAGGTAGGGTAGGCTGGACATGTGTGGCTGTACTTCACCGAATGTCGAGTCAAGCACTAATCGGACACCTAATGAACTGCAGTAATCAAATTTTTGGAGTTGTGATATTAAGTATTTCCACTGAATTGGAGACGGGAGTGCTTTGAAGCGTAAATCGTTAAAAATATATCTGCCCCTGGTGTTGTGTGTGTGCGTGTTTAAGCCTGTCACAGCACTTGCAAGAGTAAGTGACTAGAAGTGGCTCAAGTGGTTAAGACACTGAACTGCAGGCTGTGGAAGGTCGGTAGTTCAGCAGTTCAAGACCCAGGTTGCCGCATGACGGAGTGAGCTCCCGTCTCTAGTTCCAGCTCCTGCCATCCTAGCAGTTCGAAAGCAAGAAATTGCAAGTAGATAAATAGGTACCACTTTGGTGGGAAGGTAACAGCGTTCCGTGCGCCTTAGTGTTTAGTCATGCCGGCCACATGACCACGGAAACGTCTTCGGACAGCGCTGGCTCTTTGGCTTTGAAACGGAGATGAGCACCGCAGCCCTAGAGTCGGATTCGACTGGCTTTCGAGCAAGGGAACCTTTACCTTTACCTTAGAAATCTCTAAATAAATAAATATTGAGGACGGGCTTCTGCTCATCCAGAATCTGAATTTTCATTCATTGTAATGTCTGGCTTTCCTAAAGAATCCTTTTCACGCGAGTCAGTAGTAAGTATTTTGTACTCTGGCTACTGCTGGAATGCAATTAAGCAAGGAGAAGGGAGCGACGCGAGGGAACATTTCTGCTGCGCTGTATATTTGGCTGAGGAAGTTCAGAGATGAATGGAGGCAGAGAACCGGGGTGCGAGAGAACAGGTATTACGAGTTGGATGTAAGTGGAAGGAAGCCGGCTGCCGTGAAGCAGAGGATGTCTGGCAATAGCCTGGCCCCAGTACTATGCAGCAGTCTTGCCATCCTGTAGGAGAACCCTACCAAAATATATGCCGTGCCACCTCTAGATTACTTATCTACCGATAAGCAATTAGTAAATAATAAATTATTAAGTAAAATTGTACCCATGGTGGCTCAGAGGTTAAGATGCTGAGCTGCAAGCCAGAAGGTCTGTGGTTCAGTCAGCAGTTCAAGACCCGAGTGCAACGTGATGGAGTGAGCTCCCGTCTCTGGCCCCAGCTCCTGCCAACCTAGCAGTTCAAAAGCAAGAAACTGCAAGTAGAGAAATAGGTACCACTTCGGTGGGAATGTCACAGCGTTCCATGTGCCTCAGCGTTTAGTCATGCCGACCACATGACCACGGAAATGTCTTTGGACAGCGCTGGCTCTTCAGTTTGGAAATGGAGATGAGCACCACCCCTAGAGTCAGATTCGACTGGCTTTCGAGCAAGGGAAACCTTTACCTTTTACCTAATTGTAGCTATTTCTTAAGGTAAAGGTTTCCCTTCCTTGAAAGCCAGTCGAAGCCGACTCTAGGGCGTGGTGCTCATCTCCATTTCCGAGCCGAAGAGCCAGTGCTGTCCGAAGACGTTTCTGTGGTCATGTGGCCAGCATGACTAGACGCCGAGGTGCACGGAATGCTGTTACCTTATCTATTTGCAATTTCTTGCTTTTGAACTGCTAAGTATTTCTTACTTTTGCCTATAAGTGTCTGGCAACTTGTGCACAACACTGTCAGAGTTAAGCAAAGTTCCATTTGATATTTAGATACATGCTCTTAACTCATTGAAATCAATGGGATTGGAAAAATGCTCAACCTCAGACGGGTTGTACTTGTCGCATGCAGTAATTTTATAAATCTGATATGATCTGCAGTGTCTACATGAACAATAGTAAATGTCTTGTCCAGGCATTTCCTATTACTTGGGTACATGGTTTGTATCTTATCTGAGTTATAAAATACTGAGCTGAGTGGAAGATAAGATGGGCAGTAACTTTAGTGTCAGCAGAACGAAACCAGTGTTGCAGTTGCAGAATGTGTTAATTCCTGGCTTCCTAACCTTGGTATTGTTTCTTTTCAGCCAGGTTATACATCTCTAAGTAGTTTTATGAGCTGGCAAGCATATTGTCTGGAATAAATCAAAGAAGTCCACAGGGGTCAGGTGCTCTAGTTGCACATTTTTTGCATAAGGGAAACTGGGACAAGCATAAATGTTTCTCAGTTAAGTCAAGCTGATACCATTGCAATATCTTCGGACTGTGTACAGATTCTTTTGCTCCAGCAAACTCCAGCTTTTGTGTTGTGCCAAAACATTCTTTCAAAGGGTACAGTTGAGTTCTGCTCTGTTGTGAGAGTAAGCTTCAGTTTCAGGCATAGGTCCGCCCCCCAATAAATATTTTATTTTGTTTTGTGGATTGAAGTACAATTTCCCCCTTCATTATGTGTTGCTTATTATTGTTGTTGGCTCTTTCAGGTTTTATTTGTGGCGGGCCTGGCTTTCGTGATTGGTTTAGAAAGGACGTTCAGATTCTTCTTCCAGAAGCACAAAATGAAAGCCACGGGCTTCTTTCTGGGAGGCGTACTTATTGTTCTTATTGGTTGGCCCTTGATAGGAATGGTCCTTGAAATTTATGGGTTCTTCCTCTTATTCCGGTAAGGCTTTTTCCCATCAATCTTCGCGTTTGTTCTGAAGAGTAACCCTTTTTTTGCTATCGCGAAACTGCTTCGTTGAATAACGGCAGTTTTAAGTGTGAAGGTTAATGAGCATAGTCCAGTAGAAGCTTGTCTCCTCCTGCTAAGAGCAAACTGGAACACACTTTCATTTCCAGAAAAAAAAATACTTTTAAAAAACACCGGAGGTAATACTGTTCATAAAGAGGCAATTGACAGGCGGTCTGCTTGACCCCCCAAGATGCCAAACGGAACCCGTTAATCTTGGAACTGGTGTAGGCATCACTCTCCTGACCTTTTAACCATGGCCCAGTTACCAGGAGCAGGCTGCAGGATTGTGTGCTGCCTCCACCTGAAATCCCCATACCTCAGTTGAGTGTGGCACTAGCACCGCTGTTAACAGCAGGTAACACTAAGCCAAGTAAGATTTGAAGCTTTGGTACTAAATTGTTGGAGACAAGTAGTACTTTTAAGAGAAGAGATTGGATTTATACCCCGCCCTTCACTACCCGAAGGAGTCTCGGAGCAGCTTACAAACTCCTTTCCCTTCCCCTCCCCACAACAGACACCCTGTGAGGTAAAATAAGAAGAGAAGAGATTGGGTTTATACCCCGCCCTTCACTACCCGAAGGAGTCTCAGAGCGGCTTACAAACTCCTTTCTCTTCCCCTCCCCACAACAGACACCCTGTGAGGTAGGTGGGGCTGAGAGAGCTCTGACAGAAAGTGCTCTTTTTCAAGAACAGCTGTGCCAGAACTATGGCTTACCCAAACTGAAATTCAAGGTGTAAGCTTTCGTGTGCAAGCACACTTCTTCAGATACAGAGAACAGAATCTCTTCAACTGTTACATGTAGGGGGTGGGGGGGTTGGTTGTCAGGAAGGACCAGTTAGAGTCAAGATGCTGGTCCTTCCTGACAACCAACCCCCCCCCCCACTCCCTATATGTAATGGTTGAAGAGATTGTGTTCTCTGTATCTGAAGAAGTGTGCTTGCCCACAAAAGCTTATACCTTGAATTAAACTTTGTTGGTCTTAAAGGTGCCACTGGACTCAAACTTTGTTCTGTTGCTTCAGACCAACATGGCTGCCCCACCTAGTACTAAACTGATTAGTGGAACCTGGTTAAGAAAGGTCTGGCTGATGTGCTTTTGTAATACCTAACCATGGTTAAACCCAGAGGGGGGTGACTTAAAATATTTGGCTGTCAGATTGCAGGGAGATGAGCATATGACCCAGGGCCTGACCCTGACATCATTACACATGCATTAGAGTGAATGGTTATCTTCTCCAACTTTGGGTCTGTGTGTGCTGTATTCTTTGTAGAATTCATCATGTGAAGTAGCCCCGGAGTCTATTATGAATGATTGTCCATCCTTTTGAAGCCTGCTGTTTGCAGGTTCAGTAACCAATCAACTTCCATGGGACCTGGGCTGGCTGCCCATAGTGAAAACCATTGGCTTGATGCTGAGATCATACCGAATTTTTCAGTGACCGTAGTTTAGAGCCCAAACCATGGTTTGCTCACCCAGGGTATACAGGCAAACTTTGATTTAGAGCTGTCCTGTCTGTTTTCCTTTTCTACCTGCTGAGCGCCTCCCCCACAGTACAACAAAATTCAGACATCACAATAAATTGCAGTTAGTGCCTACCATGGTTTCCAAACCCCTCCCAGATCATGTTTTCCAATGGTGGGTGTTAATTCAGGCAGCAAACCAGACCGTGGTTAAGTTTCCATGGTGTGGTCCGGTGTTTGAACTTTAATGCATTTAAAGGCTTATGCTTTCTTAGACCTTTGAACATTTATTCACATAAACAGTCTTTCATTTGAAACAACAGTCAGCAAGTAAATCTATTTCAAATATATTTAAATACTTACATCCCGATTTTCTCTCGATCAGTGGGCATCAGGGGTCATTTCGTAAAAAAAGAGGTGCAGGAGCTCAATAGCATAGCTCATTTGCATATGCCACGCCCCCTGACATCACCGGAAGTGTGTCAGAAGGCAACACCCACCGCTCAGATTCCACTGGACTTTTTTGGATTGCTAGCTATTGGGAGGGGGAAAACGTGCAGATCTGTCCTCGCAGAGGAAGGAGAGCTTGTACTTGAATAAAACTTGATCTTAAAGGTGCCACTGGACTGTTTTGGGCCGGGGGCTCTGCAGCTTACCTGGCTGCTTCTTGCTCTGACTGAGGGCTGCTGGGAGCAGGGGGTGGGGCTTGTTGCATGTGCCCGCCCCTGGGGCTCTTTACTGCCGGAGCTCCGTACCTGTGTGCTCTTGCAGGAAATGACCCCTGGTGGGCATCATGTGTGAACATATCTGTGCAGACCATTCCTTATTGTGGAATAAAAGTAGTGGTGTGAATGCCTCTCTTGATCGTCTCTGAGTGAGGGATTCATTTATGGCTCTACTGTAGCCTTACCTCAGTCAGGAGCGGTATTGGCTAGTAAGCTTATTGAGACTGGAATCATAGGGACACTTTCCAGGTAGCAGGCCCAGTGCAACAGAATGGGACCGACTCCTTGGTAGACCTCCTTGGGATCGCTTCCTGAGCACGACTTTCTAGCTCCTTTGTTCTTTAGGGTTTTCTGGACTGACTACTGACCCTAACTGCATCACAGAGGCTTCGTTAGAACTGCCGCTTAACTAAGTTAACCAGTCTGAATAGGTAGAGGTGCTTTTGCAGCCATCCAGAATATTGCCATTAGTTGCTTAGATTTCTAAATCTGTATCCTTTATCTAAGAAAATGAAATCTTCAATAGTGTCCCCAGTCAAAATGATAACACCATATACAAGTTCGTGGGCTGGTCCAAAAAGTAAGCTGTTTTGACAGTAATCTTGTTGCGTTGTCATATAGAAGGATGGTAAGTCTACAGAGCTTTTCTGACCTTTTTTTTTCTTTCACTGTTTAAAGGGGCTTTTTTCCCGTGGTGGTCGGTTTTATCAGAAGAGTGCCAGTCCTTGGCTATCTCTTGAATTTACCCGGTATACGTTCAGTAAGTATTAAAGCACATCTAACTCTCGCGCTTCTGTTTCTTCATATCCGTGTCTTGGGGATGGGGGAATACCTAACTTCCTAGCGGCCGATAAAGTTTTTAGTTCTCTCTGGAGCTCTGCATCCATCTGTAGATTGTTGCTGCCATGTTCATCCCCCGGGGATAATTTCTGCTCTGAAGAAGAGCTCTGTGAAGCTCCAAAGCTGCACGCCCCTGAACAGAATCTGCAGGGGTAAAAGGCATCTTGGCCCCCTGAGTTCCCGTACGATAAGCTGCATCCAAACTCTGGACCTCTAGATTCTTCTGTTCTGCAATTGTTACGCTGCTTTTCTAAAAATATAAAAGGGATTCTAAATTATGCTGGTTTAGTACAGATCAGCTGGGATTGGGGGGGGGGGGGGTTAAGCCATAATCTGGGTGTGATGCCCTGGTTCCAAAAGTATTTTAAGAACCCACTAGCGAAAATTTTTGCCGTCATCCTCTGTGCCCAAAAGAGGATTTCCCTTAATGCCTTACGGTGCTTTGTCACTGAATGGTCACTGCCAGCAAGCCTGGCAACCCAGCCTGTCATGGGGATGCCAGCCTCCAGGTGGCACCTGGGGATCCCTCAGAATTACAGCTCATCTCCAGACTACAGAGATCGGTTCCCCTGGAGAGAATGGCTGCCTTGGAGGGTGGACTCTGTGGCACTGTACCCCACTGAGGTCCCTGTCCTCACCAGGCTCCACCCCCAAATCTCCAGGAATCTTCAAAGCTGGCAACACAACCCCCACCCCACCCCCACATCCTGGCAGTGGCCAGGGGAGACCTGGCAACTCTAGCCAGTCAAATTCTGCAACTCACGTTGTGTGAACATGTCCCCTCCAGTACCCTGCTATGATGAACATAAGAGACGCCAATGTTGGATCAGGCCAAAGGCCCATCCAGTCCAACACTCTGTATCACACAGTGGCCAAAAATACCAGGTGCCATCAGGAGGTCCACCAGTGGGGCCAGGGCACTAGGAGCCCTCCCACTGTTGCTCCCCCCCCCCAAGCACCAAGAATACAGGGCATCACTTGCCCCGGACCGAGAGTTCCTACCTATACCTTGTGGCTAATAGCCACTGATGGACCTCCGCTCTATGAAACTATGTGAGTGCCTTTTTGTTACCCCATGCCAGCTTCAGGTTAATACCAGTTTTGGTACGGACAGAAATTGTCTTCTTTCTCTGACTGGCTCCTTTACCTGTTTCTAAGCTGATGTCCACAGACTACTGCATCACCATCAAGTATTTATACAGATTGTCTGTGTCAATCTAAAATGCTTGCTATTTGCTGAGTTTATTTATTTTTTTAAATGCTATTTGCCGTGGACTTGATGGTTTAGGCTAGTGGTTTTCAGTCTAGATTCTGGGTCTCCCTAGGTTTCCTCTGATGTTTATTAAGGCTTGTCCATAAGAACAGCCATAGTGTGCAAGCTTCCCTGCAGAGCAGATTGACCTCCAGCACTGAGGGAGGCAAAAGTAGAAGTCGCAGGAGAGTTTTGTTTTAAGGTCTTGTGTCCATTTACCACCAGAAGGCCTTGCTGTGTGCTTTAGCCTGAGCCCTGACCTCCTGATGGCACCTGGGTTTTGGCCACTGTGTGACACAGTGTTGGACTGGATGGGCCACTGGCCTGATCCAGCATGGCTTCTCTTATATTCTAACCCCAGAACTTCCTGCACCGTTCAGTGCACTTGTGCCAGATACACAGCTATTTCTTAGTAGGCAAGTGGACGCAGCAAAGATCTTTAGTAGGCCATTTGGAAACCAGTGCTTTTAGGCCATTGCACCAGGGGTATCTGAAGGACTGTATTCTCCCATACGTTCCTACCCAGGAACTAAGATTGCAGGGAGACACCCTCCTAACTGTCCCACCAATTGAAGTTGTTCCTTTGGTGGGTACATGGGAGAGGGCCTTTTCTGTAGTAGCCCTACGGTTATGGAACAACCTCCCCAGCGAGCTGCACCGCCCCGCCCCCAATTATCGATATAAGAACATAAGAGAAGCCAATGTTGGATCAGGCCAATGGCCCATCCAGTCCAACACTCTGTCACACAGTGGCCAAAAATACCAGGTGCCATCAGAAGGTCCAGCAGTGGGGCCAGGACACTAGGAGCCCCTCCCACTGTTGGCCCCCTTCCCCAAGCACCAAGAAGACAGAGTATCCCTTGGCCCAGAGTTCCTATCTATACCTTGTGGCTAATAGCCACTGATGGACAGGAGGCCGTTGAAGACTATTTTATTTAGGACTGCCGTTTTAATTATTTCACTTTTGTTATTGGCAGGTCCCTTTTATGGGTTTTATAATAGTGGTTTTACAATGTTTTATTTATATAGGGTCAACTGCCTTGAGTTCTGCAAGGGAGAAAGGCGGCTAAAAATGTTTTAAATGAGTTAAGTAAAGAGAGGGAGCACCAGCGTTTTGGTATCAAACTGTGCCTTTCTGCATTTCTGATGAGCAGCCGTCACTTTAATGTCAGAATTGTGAACGTAAGACGAGCCCTGCTGGATCAGGCCAATGATTTGTCTAATCCAGCATCGTGTCTCACACAGTGGCCAAACCAGTTCCTCTGGACGGCCAACAACAGGGCATAGAGACCAAGGCCTTCCCCTGATGTTGCCTCCTGGCTCTGGGACTCAGAGGCTTAGTGCCTCTGAATGTGGAGGTTCCCCTCAGCCACCATAGCTAGTAGCCATTGATAGACTTACTTTCCATGAATCTGTCCAATCCCCTTTTAAAGCCGTCTGTGCCTGTGACCATCACTGCTTCCTCTGGCAGCGAACGCCACATTTTAATCACTCTTTGCGTAAAGAAGTACTTCCTTTGGTCCGTCATGAACCTACTGCCCGTCAGCTTTTGACTTTTTCATGCATGTCAGAATTGCTGGGCTGTATGCCAGCAAATGCCGTGCCCCACTCTTTCATTGAATCACAGTGATGAGAGAGGACTTGTCCTGCTGGCCAAGGCCTCCATCTGCCCCACTCATCTAGTGCTCCTGGTAGCCACTCAGCCCCGGCTTTAGCCATCCACATCTCTTTAAAATGACCCATGTGTGTTGCTAGCAAGTGTGATGTCCTCCTTGTGGAAGCTGCTGTATGTTTGTGCCTGTCTTTTTACATCAAGCCTGTTTGAGTGTATGTGGTGTCGTCAGTGCTGTGGCTGGAACTGTGTTACTGGTAGCTCAGCGACACTGTCAGATGCTAATTTTGAAAGTCAGATGCATGAGGTTTATTAATTAACTAAAACCCGTATATCCTGCCTTTCCTCGTCTTCAAGGCGGTTTGCAGTAATACTTAAAAACCTGTTCGGTTTAAAACCAGAAATAGAGCCCCCAGTCTCTCTCCCCTGCCCCCTTTGCTCCTGCAGTGGCCTCAGGGCCTCTTGAGAAGGGACATAAAGCCCAGCCCCTCTGCACCCCTTTTCTGCCTGGCCTTACATCAGGGTGCAGCTTTCAGCATCAGCGGCCCAGTTACGATGCCAGCTCACTGCAATAACCCCGAACAGTCATTTTGCCAGTGCGGTAATTTGTAGGATTGGTCTACAAGCCACGTTGATGTCTATGCATTTTCTCGTCCACGCTTAAATGTATTTTGGCATCGCCATCAGATTCTCAGGACTAATCCAGTTTGATGTTTTGTTCATTGTTGATCTTTACCCATATCATTCAGTAGTCTCTTAACTGAGTTAAGTCCTGTTTGAAAACTTAATTGTCGCTGTTTTCTTCAAAGCCTGCGTAGGCTCGGAAGACAAAGCCCAATAATGGTTAGTTGGAAAAAAAAATCACCTTCCGTCTGTTAATGCATGAATAGCTGACTTTTTTTAATTTTTTACTTTCCTTTTGGGTCATGGAGCTGACAGTATTTACACTCGCCTTTTTCTTCCTGGTTTTTTATTTTGTCCTTTGTGTTGCATTCTCCATGTCGCTGTCAGTGTAAAAAGCACACCATGCCGAAACACTGTCGCAGTTAATACCCGGTTACATTAATTTTGTGTAAACCACATAAAGACCTCAGTGAGTACGATCTGATCTCCGTCACCTTCAGCCGCCTACTTACATGCAGCGATGCCTAACTGCGTCTCCTTGCAGTAGCCTGTAAGTGTGGTAGAACCTCAGCATTAAAATGTGTCTCCCCTTTTTTTCTTCCCTCCCTTCCCGCACAACAGCTCGTAGATAAAGTTGGAGAAAGCAACAACATGGTATAATGACGAGAGTGCCGAAGACTGGTTCTAAATTTATATTATTTATAATGTCCTTTTTTGAAGAAAAAAGAATCAGCACAAAGATTCCGGTTGTGTACAAAGGCAAAAGTTTGTAACAAAAAGTCTTGACGTAAGTTTTTAAATTTACACCGCGAGTCTACAAAAAAAAAAAAAAGCATCGCTCGCAAAGAAAGGCGTCGCAAGCGCGCATCCGAGACTTGCTGCTCCTGGAATTTGGTGAACTGAAGAAAAAATACACAGGGGAAACCTGCGGTCTACAACAATTCAAGACTTCTTCATGTTTTTTGGAGTATGTGCTAAATGCAGCAACCTCCCCCCGTGGGACTAACAGTGCCTGTAACTTTACCTCCTGATTTCAAAGGTGTCGTAGAGTAAGCAGGGCTTCATCTGTAAGGCACGGTCCTTCTCTCCTCCCACTTGCCAATCTTTCTACCTGTGCTTCTCTCTCGGAAGAAAGCAAATATCCATTTTTCCCACCCGTCGAAAGCAAAGAGGTGTCCTTTGGGCGTGACATACGGCATTTTAAGATGGATCCTCCTCCTTTGCCACGCGCCACTAGAGGATTTCACTACCCTGTTCTGCTGTATACATTTCTTTGTAAATATCTAGCTAGAATAAAGCTTGGTAGGAAAATGTTTAAAGCCAAATGTAAAATTCTGATTAGGTTTATACGAGGAATCTGCAAGGTAGGTCAACCCATTTTTATTTTTGTTCTGTTTGTTTTGGTACTGAGTTGAGCCGGAAACCACTCCTGGTTTTGAGACCTGTTCGATTTGGCAGGGGACTGTGGGAAAACCACTTTTACACTCCTTTTCGGCTGGTTCTCCTTGACCCATGTTACATGTATGCCTCACAAAGCAGGTCTGCGGCCCTCTAGTTGTTGAATTAAACTTGGTGCGCATCACGTCCAGCTTACGAAATGGTTTGCTCGGTTTCCAGGTGCGCGCACTTTAAAAAAAAGTGATACGCCCAGCCAACCACCTCTTCAAAAAGGTGCTCCGATCAAAACTGTCATTTCTTGCTGTCTTGCCCATAGCCAGCATGATGTTTCTGCATCTTATGACAGCACGGCTGGCAAAGCGGTAAATCAGGCATTGGCATTGGGACCCTTGCGTTTTGCGCATCCTTTTCTTATTGTAGGACAGTATGTTACAGCGCTAACTTCTTCTGTAAATAACAGTGAAGTAAAAAAATGATATTAGGTCATTTGTACGTCGGGAGGTCTGTGGGGAACTTGAGCAGCCTGAGTCGTGTGCCACGCCGAAGGGCTGCTCCTCTCCCCGTGTCTTAATTTGCTTCTATTCTGATGGTTGGGAAAGGATGCCTATATCTACAAATAAAAAGCTTCAGAGCTGCTTTGTACATTTCAGTGAAGCGGGTAAGAGAGTGAACGACACGAATACCTTCTGTCCCTGCTCGTCTCCCTTCTCCTCCTCTCTCCCTCTTCCCCCCCCCCTCCCCATTTTGGGTGAGACTTAGAAGGGGTCGAGCGTCTTATCTGGCTCTCAGATGCAGGCTGGTGTTTATTTACAGAAACCCTCTGCATATTAACATGAGACTAACTTATTTGTTCGGCTCCAGACAGCTTACGTACGCCACATCGAAGCAGATAGATGTGCGTTGGTCAACTTATTTGGAGCATGGACTTTTTAAAATTTGCGCAACCAATTTCTGCACTTTGGCGTAAACGGTTGATAAGTTTGCTTAAGGCCTGACAGACCTTTTTAAAATCCAGTGGGTGATTATTTAAATCGGCTTGCTTTTAGCTGAGACAAGCTCCCGCCCCCCGAAGCTTTGAAGAACACCTTCAAGTGAGATGTTTCCAGTCGCAAAAACAATCCTAGCAGGAACTTGCCCGTTTCTTTGGCTTCATCTTGGGGAAAGGAAAATGCACTTTGGGAAAACACGTTTCTTTTCCCAGAAGTCCTGAAAATGGTTATCTTTAATCCTCGAAGCCACATGCGTACCTCATTTTGGTCTCACTGTGATACATGCTGCTGCCTGTAAGATGTAAAAAATGTTATTGGGGGGGCAACTCTGGCTGCAGCCATTTTAAATATATATCTCTCCTGTTGAATGGGACATATTGAGATGTCCCCAGCCATTGAGGCTACCACAGTTTCCACGATGCCACGTGTAACTACCATTTAAGCTGGACAAAGATTGGTGGCTGTCATTGCAGCTGGAAACCTGTGCAGCATCTGTTGTATATTACCCATTCCCACAAAGGCATGGTCTCGTGAGTCACTCCTGTATCCAAAAACCATTCACCCATGTGATGAGCCCTGAGAGACATGCCTCTATCCAGGTTTGGAGCAGCCAAGCAGTTCCTACATTATTTCTAGAGCTGTATCCCAGGGGCAGAAGGGGTTATGCAGGTATTTCTGAGCCATCAAGGTTTCTATTTTGCAGTTTCTTCTCCCATGGTGAGTGGAGCAGGAGAAGGAACTGTTCCATCTCCCCTAAGTACAAGGCATTTGTGCATTACATTAACGATGCCCACACAGCTCTCTCTCTCTCTCTCTGCTTTCTGTTTTACTTAACGCATGGGAGAGACCTGTATTTTTAATAGTAACGACAATAGAAACCCTGATCATCGCCCTTGACCAAGTAAAGCAAACTTGCCTTTTTAAAACTGATCTGGTAGCAACCCTTCAGTGTGTTGGGAATCTCATTCAAGCAAAAAAAAATGTACATGTGGAAGGTGTTGGATTTTTTAAAAAAGTGATCAAACGCAAACTTGGTGTGATTCTCGTTTTGTCTTCTCACAGCCCTTATTCGTTTAGGAAAGTATTTGGAGCGGGGGATTATTTGTGTGTACAATTGTTGCAGGGTGATACTGGAAGGGAAGCGTTAGGATGGTCTGTCCAAAGCCGCCTTGAACGTTTAGGTTGGGCGACAGTATCACGACTTTGCTCAAACCTCCGGCTAGCAACTGGAAGCTGAATGCCCCGTTCCTTTGAAGGGGACACTCTGTGGTGGCTACAAAGCCGGGTTTTGCAAAGTTGGTGTTGTGAAGCAGCCAGAACGATTCCTTAGTCCTAAAGGCTGCTATTTACACCCGGAAGTAAGTGCCACTGAATTCAGTTGGGCTTCTTTCCAAACAGGCACGCACAGGATCAGGCTGCATGCATTGTAAGCCTCTGCAAGAAAAAGAAGAAGAAAAGGCAGCAGCATCTGTAACAAGTTTTATTTTCCCCATTTAAATGTAATTCTTCATTGCTGCTTTAGGAATCAGAAGCAGATCTCATCCTGAGTAAATGAACACTGTAAATACATTTGTCATACCTTGAATAAAGACAAACTTTTTTTCTATGAACTGGTGAAGAAATTTCTTTTTTTTTTTTAACTCACTGCCCAAAAGTTCTGCAACCTCTTTAGAAGAGAGAGAAGAGATTGTATTTATATCCTGCCCTTCACTACCCGAAGGAGTCTCGGGAGCAGCTTACAATCTCCTTTCCCTTCCCCTCCCCACAACAGACACCCTGTGAAGTAGGTGGGGCTGACAGAGCGCTTTTGAGAACTGCTTGTGAGGGAACAGCTCTGAAAGAACTTGTGAGTGACCCAAGGTCACACCAGCAGCTGCATGTGGAGGCGCTGGGAATCAAACCGGGTTCTCCCAGGTTAGAGTCTGCGCTCCTAACCACTACACCAGACTGCCTTTACCTGCTTAAAACAGGAGAGTGGTCCTGTTTTGGAAGCTGGCCCAAGTGTTAGCCAAATTGGCTTAACTGTTTAATAAGCTTGGAGAAATTATTTAATTGGCAATAGGCATGAGATATAGATCATAACCTGTGTATATGGGAGTCAGAATTCCCAGGGCCTGTGAAAAGACGGGCTAAGTTGTTGAAATAATTGGCCTTTTTACTAAGAAATTCTCAAGCATACAACAATAATAAGCAAGTGCTCCCACAACACAGCGCTAAGAAATCAGAGTTGAAAAGATAGAGACAGTTGCATTAGCAGGAATACCGTTGAGGGGCGATACTTTACCTGTCTGTCGAGATGAGTAGACCTTGCAGCGGATAAGGAAGGGAAGGGAGAACTAGGAAATGGATCGTGTGCAGGCCAGTGACACACATGGAGAGATTCCAAACTGATCAGGGATGGAACCTAAAGGCGGGGTGGGAGTAGGAAGCTCAGGCGCAAGAGAGAGAGAGAGAGCAAAGGCCCAAGGCTCTCCTTAAATAGCCGGATTTGTGACCTGAGGCAAATGGCCACGTGGTCACTGGTTCCCAGGAAGTTGGAAACTAACACAATACTAGCACAGGGCAATACAAAAGAAACGATGGCCAATTTAGACATGATGGTTGGCAGGGAGTGATGCCTCTTGTGGAAGGTGAGACGAAGGAAAGGGTGCAGGTGTCCAACGACATTGCTGGTCTGATGCTTCACATTAACGATCGGGTGCCAAGCAGAGGCGTTATCTGAATGTTATTGTCTTCAGCTGGGATACAGTCTTTGAGAGGGGGGGGGCGTAAGGTGCTGCGTGATGGAGAGGAGATCCCTTCATGGCTGCCTGCAGGAACATCGGTCCTCTGTCTTCCCTCTCTGACCTGCTACTGCTTCTGTGTTCATGGAGTCCAGGGCTGATGGGCTGCATCACAGTCCTTGCGCTGGCGCAGGGTTGCAGGGGCAGAAGTGTTCCCTCTAAGCTGAGTTAGTGTGAGCTAGCTCACAGTTTTCTAGCCTCCAGCTCACACATTTTTGTCTTCGCTCCGGAAGGATGGCGCCAGAGCAAACTGATTTATGCAGCAGCCAAATCGCTCACTCACAACTTTAATGCCAGTAGCTCACAAAGCAGAACTTTTGTTCACAAGACTCCACAGCTTAGAGGGAGCAGTGGTCCTATGTAGTCTCCGGGTCCTATTCGACTTGGCGTGCTTCTTGGGCACCAGGTTTCCCTCTGCCACAGTGTACATTCCAAAGCCCGGCATCGGGCACTTCACATGGACCGCAGTTCTGTCCGTTGCCCTGACGCAAACTTCGTCACAGTATAGTAAGGCAGTCATTATTGAAAGTGTCTTTTAAAACAGGGCTCTTTTTGTAGAAAAAGCCCAGCAGGAACTCATTAGCATAATAGGCCACACCCAACAGCAGGAACTCATTAGCATATTGGGCCACACCCCTGACAGCACAGCTCATTAGCATACTAGGGCGCACCCCCATGTTACTAGAAGTGTGGTTCTCCAGCCACACCCACCTTTTGCTTGTTATTCTGTTTACCTTGTTTGTTGTCAAAACCCAGGGCTTTTTTGTAGCAGGAACTCCTTTGCATGTTAGGCCACACACCCCTAATGTAGCCAATCCTAATGAGTTTGTGCTGTTGGGTGTGGCCTATTATGCTAATGAGTTCCTGCTGGGCGTGGCCAACTTGGGAGCCAGCCGGAACTCCGTTCCTGTGCGTTCCTGCCCAAAAATAGCCCTCTTTAATAATGCCATCTGAAATGGCTGCATGCCAACATAAGGTTTTTGTTGGGTCAACGTGACCACTTTTTCTTGTCAGCAGTGTTCCCCCTAAGCTGATTTAGTGTGAGCTAGCTCACAGTTTTTTTAGCCTCCACCTCACCCGTTTTTGTCTCAGCTCAGGAAGGATGGCTCCAAAACAAACTCATTTATGCAGTAGCCAAATCGTTCGCTCACACAACTTTCATGCCAGTAGCTCACCAAGTAGAATTCTGGCTCACAAGACTCCACAATTTAGAGGAAGCATTGCTGTTCAGACGTCCCGAGCAGTCTTGTACAGGTGTGGTCACGCCAAACGAAGTCTGCATGGGCATCCAGTCAACTCAGAACTCCCTACTGGTTGCCAGCTGGGAAAGTTGATATTACACGTTGCTGTTCCCTTCTGGAATGGCAAACACTCTCAGGTGGGTCACAAGGGTAGGAGTAAGCCTTAAACCCTGGGGCATCTGAACATAAGAACATAAGAGACGCCAATGTTGGATCAGGCCAAAGGCCCATCCAGCCCAACACTCTGTGTCACACAGTGGCCAGAAATACCAGGTGCCATCAGGAGGTCCACCAGTGGGGCCAGGGCACTAGAAGCCCTCCCCCTGTTGACCCCCCCAGCACCAAGAAGACAGAGCATCACTTGCCCCAGAGTCCCTATCTATACCTTGTGGCTCATAGCCACTGATGGACCTCTGCTCCATATGCTTATCTAATTCCCTTTTGAAGCCGTCCATGCTTGTAGCCACCACCACTTCCTGCGGCAGTGAATTCCATGTGGTTCCATTTGGTTCAAGCCCATCACTGTATGACATGTTGATGGAACCTGGCAAAGCATTGGCCATTGTGGCCCCACTACTTGAATGGTCCAGGCTAGACAGAGCTTATCAGATCTCTAAAGCTAAGCAGGGTCAGCCATGGTTAGTGCTTGGATGGGAGACCCCCAAAGAAGTCCTGGGTCTCTACGCTGAGGCAGGCAGTGGCAAAACCAGCTCTGGACATCTCTGGCTTTGGAAACCCTACAGAGTCTCCATAAGCCAGCTTGACAAAACTTCCCACCACCCCACTACCAACTCCTGGCCACATCTCTTCTTCACAATAGCTGCTTGTTCACCTGTCCTGTTTAAGCAAATATCCAAAGAAAGAATCCACCGTCGTCAAGTGTTAACTAACAATATTGTATGTTACCTACCAACCAATCATGTCCCCTCTCAATCTCCTTGTGAATGACTGATCAAGAACAAGCCTTAAAGCCAACTGGTTCTAATTTGGTTCCTGTACTATACACTCCTTGGTGTAGCCAATTTGGTGTAGTGGTTAGGAGCATGGACTCTAATCTGGGAGAACCGGGTTTGATTCCCCCAATCCTTCACATGCAGCTGCTGGGTGACCTTGGGCCAGTCACAGTTCTCTCAGAGCTCTCTCAGCCCCACCTAGCCCACCTGCTTCACAGGGTGTCTGTTGTGGGGAGAGAAAGGGAAGGAGATTGTAAGCTACTCTGAGACTCCTTTGGGTAGTGAGGGGTGGGGTATAAATCCATTCTCTTCCTCTCCTTCCTTCAAGTGGAGGTTGTAGAATCAGCATTGTAATTGTTCTAATAGATGATTGTATAGAATATGTTTTGTATACAGGTTATGATGAAACTGGTTATGGTTACAAAAAAGTTATTTTAATTCATGGTCGATGTAATTTTATTGTTGCCACACAGTTGCATAATATTGTTGGTTACTGTTTAAGCGAGTGACAGGTGAGGAAAAGCAGCTACGGTGATTCGCTTAGCTCCGCTGGCTGGCTGGAGGGACTGGGCTCAGAGCAAGGCAGGAAACGACTGGGGCATGCCCGATTCATCCAGGGCCATCTTGTCTAAACATCTCACCCCCACTCCTCCACAGAAACCTATCCACGAAGCATGTTTCGGAGGGTGGTCATATCGGTGTGTGCAGTGGAAGAGCTAGATTCAAGTCTAGTAGCACTTTATAGATCCCTAAGATTTCCAGGGTGCAAGGTTTTTGAAAGTCGATGCTCTTTTCAAGTACAAGTAGGACTGGATATCCCCGAGCCCTTATATCCCAGGCAGAAGGAGGGCAAGGTGTTTGCAAAGAAGGGAGTCAGAGTCCGAAGGTAAAATGCAAAATGTAATCAGCTTGATTATAGCAGAGGAGAAAAGCTTAGGACAGGGTTCCTCAGCGTGGTGCCCACAGGCACCATGGCGCCTGCCAGCACCTTTCCTGCCGTCCACCAAGTGCTTTTAGAAAGTGGGTGGGGCTTTTTCACATCAGGGCTTCTGTCTGGCTGGGTGGATGAACAGGCACCCTGTTAAACCAAGCTGCTGCCTGAAATGCTGGACAGTAACGATTCAAGTTGCGTGTGACCTTGCTCTCTGACGTTTTGTGGTTGGCTCCGCCTCCTGCAGCAGCCATTTTGTGACTGGCTTCACCACTGCGCTGCAGACTGGAAGGTCTGTAACTTGGCAGTTCGAGACCCAAGTGCCGCGTGACGGGGCGAGCTCCCATCTCTGGCCCCAGCTCCTGCCAACCTAGCAGTTCGAGAGCAAGAAATTGCAAGTAGATAAATAGTTACCGCCGTGGTGGGAAAGTAACAGCGTTCCGTGTGCCTCGGCATTTAGTCATGCCGGCCACATGACCGCGGAGAAGTCTTCGGACGGCCCTGGCTCTTCGGCCTGGAACGGAGTTGAGCACCGCCCCCTAGAATCGGATTCGACTGGTTTTCGAGGAAGGGAAACCTTTACTACCTCCTGCAGCTGCCATTTTATGACTGGCTCCACCTCCTGCAGCAGCCATTTTGTGACTGACTCCACCTCCTGCAG